GGAAGGGAAGGGAAGGGAAGGGAAGGGAAGGGAAGGGAAGGGAAGGGAAGGGAAGGGAAGGGAAGGGAAGGGAAGGGGATCTGTTCAATTTTGCCTGTTCAATCCTTATACAGTACATTCGTAGACTGTAAAGAGATAGTGACAGATCATTCTGATTTTTGTTCAGAATATGATTTGCATTTGCTAGGAAAGTATTCAGCCAGTATACAGCTGTAATTTCTTTTTTTTTTTGTTGTTGTTTTTTTAATGTTATACTAAGTCTTAACTGTAAACACATGTGAAGAAGCCCTTGTTGGAAATTAAACAGGCACAGGTTAGAAAGACAATAGCGGATGTTTGAAAAGCTTTCCTTCTCCTTCAGGAAGACTCATGCAACTTGTACCTTGTTTGAAAACAGTACATCGGTTCAACAAAAATTGCTAATAAAATGGGGTTTGAAAATTGTTTGGTTTATCTAGTAAAATTAAATGTACGCTGTGATTGTCCACACCAATTGTCTCTGCTTAGGTTTTGTCTTTTACTGCTTTTTCACTGCACTGCGAAAGCGGAAGAAGCATGATCAAGTCCACATCTAGGGAACAAGAACAAGGATTCTACTTACACAGTGATTGTGGTTCAAGTCTGAATTTAGAAGATATTAAGTCTATTCAGGCCAATTCTTTAAGCGGCATAAACTTGCGTAGGCCTAGCTGAATCTAAACGGTGTTACACCAGTTTATACCTATTGAGGATCTGGATTTACCGGGCTGAAAGATTAGTAAGTACAGTTCCCAATGTTCTTGGTACAGAAGCTGGCTGGGGCCCACGAATGCACAGGTTATGGGTACACCAACAAGCTACTGCAGGGCATAGACGAATGGCACATCCATTACTGTGGCGATTTTGTCCCCATACTGCTTTTATCTTTACTTTGTGACAAATATGAGATGTTCTGTACCTCCATCACCATGCAAGTTATTTACTTCATGGCTAAAGTGAGGGCAGACATCCCAGACTAGCTCCTTGCAAGTTGATCCTTAAACTACTTACTGGCCACTTGGTCATTAATCCATACCTTATTTTTCAGGTTCAATGTGGGGAAAGATAATGTCAGAAATATCTGCACAGACCAGAAAATAAAACAACTCCTTGGTCTCAAGCAGCTTACTAAAATGACCAAACATATTTCACAGACTTATGCATCACGTTCATGTCACACCAAATGCCATCACACCTCTCGAGACAACAACCTGCCAAGTCTCATTGTTCAGACTACATGCCATTTGAGGCACGCTTCATAGCTCTCTGTACCTCAGAACTGTATCTTCCCTGGGATTTTTAATTTTACTAACTTAGCACAAGTAGTAACAAACAGGATTTTCAGCTATAAACAAGAACATTAATTCTCCTACACAATGATGGACCGCTTTAAGAATAAGATTTTTGTAATGCAAACAAGAACAGCAGTCAAGTAAGATCTTTGTTTACTACAAATATTTTCTGTGCCATTGCAAAGTGTACCTCCATCATTTACTTCTCCGCCTGTCTACCACACTGAGGCCTGTCCCTTAGCAGAAGGATGCTAGTCGTGTTTCTTATCCCTCACAGTTCTCTGTGTACAGTGGATATTCCAGAAGCCTTCACAGGACACAAGAGTCTTTTCATTAACTGTGGTACGTTCAGTCCCCTGGGATGATCCTGACATCTGAAGAATGAAAAAATAGAAAATTGTTCTTACTACAATGACTTTTTAAACACAAATGGGAATGTCCTGCCTAGCTGACTTTTCATAGTACATCACCGATAGTTTCAGAGTTCAAGTGCCCAGGATAATGGGACCATTTTGTATTTCATGAACATTGCAAAGTTAAAGATTTTATTTAAAAGAACTTCATTTAAAAGAAAAATAGTACATGGCACATCATGTAATTGCTATTTATTTTCATAAACATGAGGTATTTCAAAGTGCTATAAGACGCAGCACTAAATGTACATCGTTGGAAGAAATTAAACACAGAACTTTGCAGTTACCCAGTTCTATGCACCAAACATTAACAAATACATTAACTGGAAGAAACAGGCTAGGAAAAGGCATATATAGTAAATTTCTTTACAAAAGTTTCTTAGTTCAAAAAAGTGATAAAGTAATATCTACTCAAAACTTTCACAACTCATTTTCATACGAAAATATAAGTATCAAATTTAGTTATGTATCAGCATCATACTAAAGTATACAGGCAATGTAAGAATTAGTACAGTACATAACAGAGATTAACAATATATTTGTATACAAAAACATGCTCCTCAAACATTGAGGTATTACAGTACTTAGGTATGAACTTCCAGTCTAATACTGGCAGCAAAAGCCACCTCTCATAACCCAAGACATGTACAAAAGGCAAGTGTGTAGATGGTATTTACAGAAAATTCCCACAGGGGTACAAATGCCAACCCCTAAAGTAACATCTGTTAGAACATAAGCACCATAAAACTTAGGAATGAACGTTTTAAAAACTCAACTAGATGTCATCAGCAGCTCCAAATGCTCACAACAATTAAAAAAAAAAAAATCCCCACCATCTACAGCTCTCAAGAAGAAAAACAAAGGCAGTCCATTGTTGTTTGGTAGTCTTGCAATAAACTCCTTGCAAGAACATCCATTTGCTCCGTACCCGGATAATAATAAGTTTGTCAATTACTTCAGGGACTGGATTGAAAGTAAAACCAACATTCTTAACGTCAAAAAACACAATTTTTTTTAAAGAATCAAAAATGTGCAAAGTGGCAATGACTGTCCTGGTCAGCCAAAAAAAAAAAGAAACAAAAAAAAGTTTAGCAAGTCCGCTTGTATTCTATTTTCTTTAGCAACTGTTGTTGTCTAGCTTGCAATTTTTCCTTTTCTAGCAATAACTTCTGCTCCTCTGCCTGAAGGGAATGAACATATTCAGTGGCTTTTTTCAAGATCACAACTTTTGCAGCTTTCTCATTTTTAACCAGTTCTGGAACATGGTCCCTTAAAGTGAGGAAACTTGACCGTAGATCATTACGCCGTTGACGCTCCAGGATATTATGGTTGCGTCGACGTTCACTATCCTCTGAATCAGAGTTTCGAGGACTTGAACTCTTAGACTTTGGTTGGATCGTGGGTTTTACTGGACGGAGCACCTCGGTTTTTAACTTTTTCTGCGGTGGAGCATCTTCACTCTCCATGTATGGAGAAGGAGCGGCATAATTATGCTGCTGGTGAATTGGTGCGCAACGCTTTAAAATCAGTTCATTCTGCTGTGTCCTGACTGGTGGAAAAGTGGTATTTTTAGGACGCACTGTAATAGTAAGGGTGGTAACAGCCTTGTTGGAGGAGGAGCGTCTTTTCTCCACTGTCACAACATCTATTTCTTCTTCTTCATCCTCTTCCTCCTCATCTTCATCATCTTTTGGTAACCGAAAATGGAAAATAGAACAGACGTTATTCTCACATAAAATACTCCAAACAAGTATCAACCCAGATGTGTTTATTGACAAAATATGTACAGTAAAAGCAGCAATGAAATAACTGACGGCAAAAACAGGGTGTGCCCACCATCTGTAGGCAGATATAGATCTGGAGAAGTGTGCAATATATATGAAATGACTGAAGAACAGTGATTTCTGAAAGTTTAATGATTGTTTTTTAAAACTTCTCTGATTTTCCATAAAAGCGGGGCTACCACCCACCCACACGACTGCAGCAGCAGAAGAGAGTTTTTAGACAGAACGTGTGTATTTTGAATGGAATTGTGGAGCTTCGGTACAAAAGGCACGCACAGTGCCACAACACAGCCCTTGCTTGGTAGAAAAGCAGCCGGAAAACGAAACAATCGCAGGGTTTGTTCTGAGGCAGAAGGTGAAGCTGCTCCAGCCGGGGACCCTTTAAGCCGGCGCTTGGTGCACTGCCAAGAAGACAGCTGTTGGAAGTGCTTCCTCACCCAAAGCTGTCAAACCAGACATTAAAGGGACAGCAGGCTTTGAAACCCGGGACGGATCACCGAGTTTAAGGCGACGGTCATACGGACCAGACCATCCGCACGTTTCGGCCCAAGTGGACTTTTCTTCAGGCACGGACAGGAGACCTTTCTGAGCGTTTTAGGTTCTGCTGGCCAGTGCAAGCGCAAGCGGTGCTCTGAGGGGTCACCAGCCCGCTCCAGCCTTCCCAAATCACGCCTAAGGGCACTCGCGGTCACCCCCC